TGCTACCTCCTTCCTGCCATGGGCTGCTCGGCACCACCTCCAGACTCTGGTCAGCAAAGAGGCCACCACCGGATGCTTCCCTGACATCTTGTATCTCTAGAACCAAGAGCCAAAATAAAGGTCTTTTCATTATAAAGCACCTGCCTCAGGTATTTCATTGTAGCAATGAAGAGTGGAGTAATATAGCACCCTTACTCCATTCCAGAAAACCAAAAGTGCCAACCTGAACGGTTAAGATACTGTCACATGACCATTCAAACACTCAATGAATTTCTCTAAAACATGTCTTAAAACACAGTAAATCCTCTTTGTACAATGAGTAAACTCTATGGAAGGATGTAAGTGATGAGAACTCTGCTGACCAACGTGGTGGCTAATAGACCCACGTGGCTGTTTACATGTAGGCTGCAGTGAATTTAACCTAAGTTATAAAACACGGCCACGCCAGGGAGTAGGACTTCCGGGTATGAATTTGTTTTTATTTTTTTTTAAATATTTTTTATCTACTTATTTGAGAGAGTTACAGACAGTGAGAGAGAGAGACAGAGAGAAAGGTCTTCCTTCCATTGGTTCACTCCCCAGATGGCTGCAATGGCTGGAGCTGTGCCGATCCGAAGCCAGGAGCCAGGTTCTTCCTCCCAGTCTCCCATGCAGGTGCAGGGGCCCAAGGACTTGGGTCATCCTCTACTGCTTTCCCAGGCCACAGCAGAGAGCTGGATTGGAAGAGGGGCAGCTGGGCTCAAACCGGCACCCATGTGGATGACAGCGCCGCAGGCAGAGGATTAACCCCCTGCACCACGGTGCCAGCCCTCAGGGTATGAATATGGGGGTGAGAGGTCATTCGCGTCAGCCCATGGCGTCTTCTCTGGGATGCACATGATCTCTGGTTAGTCTTGGCTGAATAACGGAGAACCAGAATAAGCTGGCTAAAAGCCATATGAATGGGGCATTTGTGTGTTTTAGGCATCATGTGAAGAGGAGTAGGTCTGAAAAGTTCATTAATTCACCGATTCATTCATTCAGTAACCTCATCATGAGGCTGATGCTATGCAGGTCTCTGGGGAATAGAGTGATGACTCAGACATTTCGATCTACAGATATATAGAGTGATAGCATTTGAGTCTAGTGTTAGGTAGGAAGTCAGACATGAGCTTATGTGTGTGTGACATAAAGGCCTAAAGAGAAGACATCTATGTCCAGCATATGCATCTGCATCTCAAAGTCATCCTGATAATGTTTCGGGGCAGCCCGGTATTCCCATCCTGCCCTGCCCCCTTCTACCTGATCACCTGCCAGGTGGAGGTCCCCGCCCCTTCTGCCTGACAAATCTTCCACAATCTCCCAGGTGCAGCCCAGTATCTGCACTTCAAACACCCTGCTCCAGATCCGCATTCTCCAGGGGGTCCTTCTTACCCTTCCTCTGAACCCAGGATGGCGCCAGCCAGGCTTCCTCCTGTCTGATACCTTCAAGGGAAAACTCAGATAGGAGCTTCTTAACATTTATATCCATAAAATCATTTGTTTCAGGAGGAGATGTGTGAAGACAAAGACCCATCTCCTTAAAAACCCCCGGCCTCAACTGGACTGGGCGTTCAGCCCTCTGCCTCTCTGCTGAGCCACCCGCCTGCCTGCCCAGGTGTACTCTCTCTCCACTCAACCATGTAACCTTGCTCCTTCCCCTGTCCGAGCAATGGCACTCTCTCTCAGGTCCTGTCTGGAGAGGTGCCCATCTGTTCTTGCAGATGTCCCTACCCTAATAAATTTTGCTACTTCTTACTTTCCACTACTCTGTCTCATGCCTGAATTCTTTCTTGCGCAAAGACAAGAACCCTGCCATTCTCCGGTAACATCTAGGTTATCGTTGTTTTGTTTTGTTTTGTTTTGACAGGCAGAGTGGACAGTGAGAGAGAGAGACAGAGAGAAAGGTCTTCCTTTTGCCGTTGGTTCACCCTCCAATGGCCGCCGCGGCCAGCACACTGCAGCCAGCACACTGCGCTGATCCAAAGCCAGGAGCCAGGTGCTTCTCCTGGTCTCCCATGGGGTGCAGGGCCCAAGCACTTGGGCCATCCTCCACTGCACTCCCGGGCCACAGCAGAGAGCTGGCCTGGAAGAAGGGCAACCAGGACAGAATCCGGTGCCCCGACCAGGACTAGAATCCAGTGTGCCGGCGCCGCAAGGTAGAGGATTAGCCTAGTGAGCCGCGGCTCGGGCTTGGGTTATCTTTAAAAAAAAAAAAATTTTATTTATTTGAAAGATAGAGTTGCAGAGAGAGGTAGAGGTCTTCCATCCAGTGGTTCATTCCCCAGATGGCCGCAATGGTCAGAGCTGAGCTGATCCAAAGCCAGGATTCAGGAGCTTCTTCCAGGTCTCCCATGTGGGTGCAGAGGCCAAAGGACCTGGGCCATCTTCTACTGCTTTCCCAGGTGATAGCAGAGAACTGGATTGGAAGAGGAGCAGCCAGGACTTAAACCGGTGCCTGGATGGTATGCCAGCACTGCAGGCTGGGGCTTTAACCCACTGCACCACAGCGATAGCCCTTATGTTATCTTTTCAGGAAGATATTTACGTCTGATCAAGGGGCGTTTTGTTAGGGAATCTTGATATGAAAATACCAGCTAATGTGTAGTGAGCACTTCAACTGCATACCAGCGGTAAGTTAAGTAGTTCCCAGGCCATTTCCCATTGAATTCCTAGAATAACCCTTTGCAGTGGATGGTATTAATATATCCATTTTATGGATAAAGCTTCTTAAGGAAGCTTGCACTAGTTATTGGGCTTGCCTAAGGTCGCACAGTTTATAGGTAGTGGAGTCAGGATCCACAGCTGGGGTGCAGGCAGCAAGTTGTGCCCGCCCCCTCTCTTCTCTGTGCTGCATCTCTCACGATGAGGAGTGGTCCCACCAGGGCCAGAGTAAAGAGAGTGCTGCCCGCCAGCCCAGCGCCCCCACTCAGCACAGCCACCTGTGACTTAGGGGCGCTCCATCTGTAGGGTGCGTCCCCAGGAGCGAGATACCCGGATGGGAGAGGGTGCCCCGTGCGCCCCTTGTCCTGGCTTCCCTGGGAACCTGCCACCACTTTTGTTTCTCTTCCACTTCAGCCTCGCTCAGGCAGAGGCTTAAGGCAGAGCCACCTTCCAGTCTCAGCTTATTTGCCAATTTTTTATCTTGCAAACAAACCCTGCCTTGCTGCAATGGGAGAGAAGTTCATCTATTTCCAATTTTGCGATGTGGGCAGTCTTTTCAAGGGTCTGTGTGTTTTCAATTCACAAATTAATCTGCCTCTTTCCACAGCTCCAAATAGCTTCTGCTCCGAAATGCGGGCCGTTTCACTCAGGGGTGGGGCTTGGAATCCTACTTTGTGTGCATTTGCAAATAGGGCAAGGCTGAAGGGATCCACCTTGTCCTATATTGAGGTAACACCGGAAGGGACCTGGCTAAGATGAAAATCCAAACTCTTCTTCTAGGAAAATCGTCTGCTCAGCAGAGCTGTTCAACATACGTAGGTGTGCACACATATGTGCTCACACACACACACACACACACGCTGCTACTGAATGCTCGGGGGACCCCTTCCACGGTAGGCAGCAGAACGTTCCACCCTGGAGAGATGCATAATCTGAGCGAGCTGCCTGCGTGGCTTTATTTTTCCTGGGGAAGGACCCAGCAGGTGGGGATACTTCCTCGTGCTTTCCAGGCTGGCCAGGGGCATGCGTTGCATGTTTCCCCCAAAGAGACCTAGGCTAAGGCTCCCCCAGTTAGAAACCCTACACTGTGGAGCAAGGGTTGGCACAGCAGTAAAGACACCATTTGGGGATGCCTGCATCCCACATTGGCATGCCTGGGTTTGAGCCCTGGCTCGGCTTCTGATTCCAGCTTCCTGTTGGTGCACACTCTGGGAGGCAGCAGGTGATGGCCCAAGGAGCTGGGCCCCTGCTACCCCTGTGGGGGACCTGCACTGAGTTTCCGGCTCTTGCCTTTGGCCTGGCCCAGCCCTGGGTTTTTGGGGAGTGAACCAGCAGATAGATCTGTGTGTGTGTGTGTGTGTGTGTGTCTCACTCTCTTCCTCTGCCTTTCAAGTAAAGAAAGTAAATAAGAAAATTTTTAAAAAGGAAATCCTAAATTGCAAGGCTTTCTGGCATTCAAAACCCTTAATCCCTATGCTGGCATGGTACCATCTTGTGTTCAGCAAGTAGAAAAACATAGCTTTCCGGTGTCTGTGGGCACACCCAGCCAGAGGCAGCCGTCAGGAGGTGCCAGAGAGTGGAATCATGGGGTGAACCCAGGTCAGCTGCCGCCCTGACCAGTGTCACTCTTACACGGGGGCCTGATGAGATTGGGAGTTGCAGTCTAGAAAGTAAGATTTAAATGTCCTCAATTCTTTGCCCTGAAACACTGTTCCTTAAAGCACTAATGGCTTTTTTTTTTTTTTAATCTTTAATGATTGTGTTTCTTGATGTATCGCCCCCGCCTCGTGCAGGAACCTGGTGACTTTCAGTGACCATTGTCTGGTTGCTGTGTGCACAGCCAGCGGCTTCGACGTGCTTGTTATTTGCAGAGCGGTTTTTGTGACCTCAAGGTTCCTTCTTGCCTACGTGATGCTACTTAAAATCTACCGAGGCGCTTCCGTGCCCGGGGTCCCAGTGGCTTTCCGATTTCCTGGCCTTTAGCCCTCAGTGTCACCTTTCCAGACATGTATTATTCATAGGCACACCTGCTCTCAAGTACAAAGCTAAACAGAGATTAATCCATTTTTTTAAATGGGGGGTGGGTAGGGGGCAAGCTCTAATCGGAAAACCTGCTGCCTGGTCCCACTCCAGCTTATTCTGGAAACATCTCGCAGCAAAAACAGTCCAGTCTCTTCTCTGAAGGTGACCCCGTGGCCCAGCCTGGAGTGGGACCTGGCAGGATGGGGGGAGCGGGCTCTGCTGGGGACACATCTCTGTCCTCTGTCCTCTCTGATGCTACTCAGTTGTGGGTTTTTTTTTTTTTTTTTTTTTTTTTTGCCTGGAGGAATGGGTCAGCCATGAGAGCAGGGCTACATCACTGGAATGAATTTCAAGTTGACTTGAGAAACTTCCAGAATTTGGAGCATGGAATAAACGGCATCCTATGAGAATTTTCTACGGTTTATAGTGTTGTCAAACCTCAGCCTTTGCAATATGTTACTGGTGAACTTCGTTTCTAACATTTGCGTTGGCCGTATTTGGACTAGTCGGGGTGAATGTTATTCCCAAACACTTCATTGGCATTTGGGTGCATGTTTGTCTGTGAGCATCCCGGTTGTACAGGGGTTTGAATAGCACGTCTTCCTGTGGTAGATTCCCCTCCCAGGGTGAACCAGCTGTCCTTCTGACCCAGAGAGACGTGACAAATGGGAATGGTACCCGTCACGTGCAAGCCTTCCTCCTGACAGGAAGCTGATATTTTGAAGCTCACGAGATTATAAAGATGTTAATGACTTTGTCATACTTGCAGTTTAAATGGCTGAAAGCGTGGTCTCTGGGGTTAGGGACAAACCCCACCACCTGTCAGTTAACCGAGTTTGGACAGACCACTTGCTGCCTACAAGCCTAAGTAACTCCATCTGGTGGGGTGAGGATGAGCAAGTTTGGATGTGTATGACATTTCAACATTGACGGTCTCCAGGAAGTGTTGTGTTTGTGAGCCGCAATTTAAAAGTAACACTGAATAGGAAACTGGTGGCAACCTGACACGTATAGAAAGATGCACAGGGCAGCCATCTCCATGACAACCAGGTGCCCTCCTCCTAGCAGGCGCCCCGACAGATCACCCATGGCACTGGTTTGCTTATAGCTCACTGATTCCCTGAGCACTGAGTGCTTTCAAAGGATGAAGAAAGATTTTCTCCTTTTTAATGTAAGAGGAGCTTTGATCAGCTTTCATTACACATGTAACATGAGTATTTTCTCTTTGTAGACAAATTAAATATACAAGTAAGACTGCATGCTCCTTTGGCCCCCAGCTCCACCCCTGGACTCTGCTGCAGAGGCCGCGCACTGATGGAGTGATGTGTCCTACCCAGGGTACAGTGCCTCGCAGGCCCTCCTGGGGAGTGTCCACACATCTGGCTTCTTGTTCACTCAACGTAGGTCTCGGAGATCCTTCTATGTCCATATATATAGTTTATATTCTAAAAACTGTGTTTTATGTGTGTGTGTATGTGTATGAATGAAGCACAGTTTACTTAACCAATCCCATTTTCATGGCCATTTAAGTTATTCCCTGAGTAAACAGATTTTGTTATTTTTCTAAAGAAAACTGCCACGAATGTGCTCATATGTACCTTGTGAGCACATGGATGAGTGCATGTCTGGAGTAGATACAGAGTAGTGGAATCTCTGGATTGTACAGCATGAACAAGTTACATTTTTAAAAAGACTCATTTTATTTATTTGAAAGGCAGCATGACACAGAAGAAGGAGGGGGCAGTGAGGGAGAGAGAGAGAGAGAGAGAGAGAAGTCTTCTATTCACTGATCCCCTCATTAAATGGCTGTAGTGGCCAAAGCCAAGAGCCAATAGCTCCATCCAGGTATCCCAGATGGGTGGCAGGGGGCCCAGCACTTGGGCCATCCTTTGCTGTCTTCGCAGGTGCATTAGCAGGGAGTTGGATCAGAAGCAGAGCAGCCAGGGCTGGAAATGGCACGCTAATGGGCATCAGAAGCAGCAGCTTAACCCATGGTGCCACAAGGCCAGCCCCCGTTTACTTTTCCAATAGACACTGCCAAGTACCTCTGCACAGTAATTATGTCCATGTTACTCTCCTAACTAGAGGTATGGAAATATCTCTTTTCCTGTAGCCTTTGACTTTTTTTCAATTGAGTGGGGGAAAGTAAAGGTATCTCTCCATGCTAGAATTTCCATTTACCTTATCACTGGTAAAACTGAGCATTTTTGTCACCCATTTGTGGGCCACTTGCATTACTTTTCTGTGAATTGTCATTTTATAGCTTCAGAATCATTTTGATTAGATCATTTTCACCTTCTTTTTGATCTGTGGAGGTTCTTTATATAGTCTAGCTACTGATCCTTTGTTGCAAGTTTTTTATTCTTTTGTCTTTTAACTTTGCAAATGCCTCTGTCAGATAGAAACGCTTGTTTTTGATGTAATCAGATTCAAGAGTGGTTTAGATTTTGACCTTGTTCAGAGGTTGTTTTCTATGTCAAATCATGAAAAACAGATTTCCTGCATCATACCCTATTTTTTGCATCTATTTGGGTAATGAGAAGTTTTCTAGGTGAGTAACTTCCCTGCCTGTGTTGCAGGTGATGGAGGTACTTCAGAAGTTTGTGGAAGGGATCATTAAAAGGTAAGTTTATTTTGGTGCAAAAAAAATTGAAATCCATACATAGTTTCTTAAACAATATGCATCTCCATGAACTTTGTAAGACCTGTTGTATGCATGGATATTGAAGCTTTTTGTATCCAAATAAACCTATCGTTTAATTCCATTTTCTGCAAACTTTCTGAAATGCACTGATGTCTACCACCCAGACAGATATATTAAGGCACTGACAACCGAGGATCTGTTTAAGCCCCGGGGAGGAAAGGGCAGTCCCAACAGTGTCCAGCAGAGGGCAGTGTGTAAGCGAGTCTGCCTCTTGGGGGGCCCTAAGGGGTTCCGCGCTCTGACAATAGTAAGTTCCAGGAGGGGAGTGTGAATCTAGGCTGGGAAGAGCCCGACTCGGGTGTGCTCCACAGTGGGCGATAAAACAGGGCCGAGGGGGACGTCGGGAGGTCTCTGGGCTGCGTCTGGGAAGACAGCAGATCAAAGGGAGCCAGGATCGCAGCGCGTTCCCCAAGGGGAGCTCCCCGGCTGCTTGCCTGGGCTCCACACACCTGAGATGAAAGCTGGACTCTCGCACAGGAAGTGATAGTTACCTGACAAACAACAGGCCATCCCCAAACTCACCTTTTTAATGCCATCAATAATTCAGCCCCTGTCTCCAAGAGGCAGCGGCCAGGGGCGCAGCTGACTACACCGGGGAAGCAGCCGGCAGCGCAGTGCAGCCCAGTGCCCCTCTCCCCTCGTCCTGGGCGAGCAGATCTGCTTCCTGTTGTTGCTTGGTTGAAGACTGTCAGTGCGGGGTCGCGTGCCTCCGGAAGCCAGAGCATCTCGGATCTGCACGGATTGAGCGGCTCAAACGTAGCGGTGGCTCTACTCGCAGGTGGAGTGCTCTCCTCTATTTCCTGAATGTCCACTCAGCGCATCTCTCTTCCCTTCCCCCGGGGGAGGCTGCCTGGAAAGAATCAGTGGGCTCTTTGATCCATTTCCGTTTGGGATGGACTGGTGGCAGCACCTGCAAGAGGACTGCAGAGGTCTGGTGTTTGCCTCCCCGGCTCCCTCCTTTTGCTGGGCCGCAGTTGGCCAGGGCTTCACCTGTGTGCGGATTGGGGCAGCCTCAGACACTACTGTGGGAATAACCCACCCCCTTTCACGCCTTGGGGCATTGCTGGTTTGCTGATCGCCTGCTGTGTCTCTTAGCTGTGCGCACAGCCTTAGAAGTAGACCCCTCATTAATTTACCTTCACTCATCTCTTGTGAGTGTCCTGGGTGACGTTTGCCCAAAACCTGATACAGAAACCAAAATCCTTTTTAATTCTTCATCCCGACAAATGCACGATTAAAATTTTAGTGTCGTTCTGGACTCTGTTTTCTGCACGAATGAGTCCCAAGCCCAAGGTGGTAGTTGTCTCCTTTTAAGAGGCAGAGTCACGAGTCATTGCAAACCCACCTGCAAAATCCTGCTACCTGGCCTCGCTTTCTGCAACTCCCTAGGCTTCCAAAAATGTCCCATTGCTATAAATACTCTTCTCACCTTTAAAGCCAAACAACCTGGAAGATGAAAGGATCGCGGGAACCAACTGGATGCCACGGCAGGTTGCCTGATTCGCTCAGGGATGGTTCTAGAAACAGGAGACGTAAACCACGGTTACAGGCAGCCCTCCCCTGCAAGGAGAAGGCTGCCATTCCATTGGCCACATAGTCGCCATAAACTGCATGCCAGATAGCAAAGCCCACTTAGTGTCCAGCTCCCCACCAGACATTCATGAATAAGTGAACTGATTCTCCCCTACCCCGCCCCAGCATCCTCGCTTTCTACCTGCTGGTGCAGGTGCAGGTGCACAGAGCCCTGAGACCGCAGCAGGAGGAACGGGGCCCCATCAGCCCGTCGGTTGACCCTGAACGACTGAGAGCTGCTCCGACACCTGCTCTCATTAAGTGCCAGGACACGGAGTCTCCATGATGTGCCCTTCCTGGGGACACATCTTCCATGCGGGTATCAAATCAATCCTGCCTCTTTCCAGGCCAGCCCTCACCCCAGTAGTGACCTCATCCAGTGACTTTGGACACTTTTCTCTCTCCATACCCCATGTGCAACCCATATCCAAGGCCCGTGGATTCCCCCTCCGGTCTCTCTCTAATCTGCATTCTTCTGTCCACCCCCACCCCAGCACAAAGCCAGAGCCCCCAGATCACTGTCATGGCTGCATAACTTGCCAGTACTCCTGCCGTCTGCACGTCCCCCTCCACGGCACAGCCAGAGCAAGCTTTAGTACCTGTGAGCCCGTGCCCAATGCTCTCCTGCTAACAACCCTTGGAAAGCGCCCCATTGCTTTTGGGGTAAAGCCCTGATGGTTCATAACCCTGCCTGGCTGGGTCTTGCCACCACTTTGGTGTCATTTGATGCCAGGCCTCTTTCTGCCATAGTCTGGGGTCCCTTTGCTGGCTCTTCTTGCTGGTCCTTAGACTTGACACACACACACACACACACACACACACACACACGCCTGTGTGCTTTTCCTTGGTCTGTGATGTTCTTCTCGCCACCATCAACCTCGCTAACTCCTAGCACAGCCCCTGATCAAACAGCCTGCTTCCCAGTAGAGCCTTCTCCGACCCGAGGCTGAGCCAGAGTGTGGGGAGCAACTCGGACTAGACTGTTACTGGAATTAAGACTTATTCTATGCATCTGCTCTCCCACAATATGGCGCTGAGAAGGGAGTAACAACTTCTACGCAGCTGCCTCTCGCCAACTTGAGTGATGACCTGCAGGAGCTGATCCTGCTCCTGATTGGAGGAGAGCAGCGTACTCGGCGTGTGGGTAGCAGAGCTGGGATTGGTGGAAGAGGACTATAAAGGAGGAGAGAGACAACATGCACCAGGAACATCTATCTGAAGGAACACCTGTGCAGCCCCCAAGAGAGCCGGCCGGCGGTGTGCCGCTCCCCCGCGGAAGTGGGGAAAGTGGCAGGGGGAACCGCCCTTCCACGGAGGTGGAAGGGTCGGTAGCCAACCCGGGAAGAACCAGCAGCAAACCTGGGGAGGGCCGAGCAGACAAAAGAACAACGCAGGGTTTAGTGTCGTTCCTCTGCGAAGAGGGGGAGCGACACCAGAGTCCCCTTTACATGCCCGCTAATGCGGCCACAGATGGTAAGTGTGCCCTTGATTGAGAGGTCGCTGCCCGTGTATCTTCGGGAAGCGGGATCTGTGCACTTGGCATTGTACTTGGCAGACAGCACGATCCCCACAAAGACTCGTTAAGTGCATAAGTGGACGCCGTCCTGCTCTTTCTCTTGGTATCCGTGAGCGGCCAGGACAGCATCACAGAGGGAAGAAAAGGGGTCCCTGGTCTGGGGAGATGTGGGTAACGCGCCGCCCAGGGCTGGAGGCTGGCTTCTCTGATTTAGGGGTACCCGTTTTTTTGCATATGCCTCTTCTGTCTGGGTGGACCCCTCCCCTAATCTGGCTCCGTCTTGTGCCAGTGTTGCATGAACTCCCGCCCACACCCCCACCTGTGGCCTGGCACAGCCCCCTCCAGAGCCCTCCATGCTCTTGTTTCTTCCTGGGCTGGGGAACCTGGGCCTTTCCTTCCCAGGTGGGTTTCTGCCTAAGTACAAGGGAGCTGGCCTCCTGGGAGCTCTCTCCTGTGACTTATCCGCAAGGCAAATGAAGGATTAAATTGCAAGCAAGCGAGATTTTGTTCAGCATCTTGAGTTTTAGGAAGCATCCCGAGTAATAAGGTGGAAGGCGGCAATCCAGGTGCCCACGGCCTTGCCTCCTTCCTCCGAGTGGTGGCTGAGGGAACAGCCTAAGGGATGCGCCCAGAGGGAGGGGGGAGCCGGGGCTTGGAGAGGCGATGGTCTACGCAGGGCTTCCCTAACTCCGGCAGGCATAGGATCATGCAGCCGGGCCCCGCCTCCTAGAGTCTCTGATTCAGCTGGTCTTGGGGGGGGAGGGGAGGACAAGAATCTGCATTACTAGCAAGGACCCAGGTGGTGTCGGTGCTGCTGGGATCTGGGAGCTGTGCTGGGCCTCGGGTGGGAGAAGGTGAGGTTTGCAGCCTTCGTGAGCGACTCTCAGGGTGGAGCGCGAGCTCTGGGTTGACGCGTTGTGGATTAGGGAGGAGCGTTTGGCCTTGTGGGAAAGCTGCGCAGCTAAGATGCCTGCACCCACGTCCAAGTGCCCGGATCTGAGTTCTGGCTCTAGCTCCTGACTCCAGCCTCCCCCGTATGCGATGATGAGGCTCCTGCCACCTGCGCGGGAGACTTGGGGTGCGTTGCTGGCTCCCGGCTTCACTCAGGCAGCTTTGGGCATCCAGGCAGTGAACCAGCGGATGACAGCACTGTCTCATCTCTTTGAGTCTCAGATTTAGTTCATTAAAATAAGAGTTGTGGACTCAAAGTTTTCAATGAGACAACACTGGTAACTGGTTAACCACAGCGTTTGGCAGTGCGTGAGTACCTCATAAACACTTATCACCATCTTTAAAATAGGAAGTACTAATTATAGTGCAATTGGAGTCCATGTGAAAGGAAAATCGGCAGGTTGATAGGCTATAGAATAAAATAGTAGCAGGGGCCGGCACCGTGGTTGATCCTCCACCTGCAGCACCAGCATCCCATATGGGCACCAGTTCTAGTCCCGGCTGCCCCCTTCCAATCCAGCTCTCTGCTATGGCCTGGGAAAGTAGTAGAAGTTGGCCCAAGTGCTTGGACCCCTGCACCCACGTGGGAGACCCGGAAGAAGCTCCTGGCTCTGGGCTTCAGATCGGTGCAGGTCTGACCATTGCAGTCATTTGGAAAGTGAACCTTTCTCTCTGTCTCTTCCTCTCATTGTCCGTAACTCTACCTCTCAAAAAAATGAATAAAAAAATCTTAAAAAAAAAAAAAAAGTGGAATACTTTGGCTATTGGGATTTCCTATTGTCTGCCTAGCTCAGGCATCCCTGGCCCACAGAAATAATTGGTACATGCTTATTGGATGGAAGGAAAGATATACTTGAAGTCTGGGTAAATGGATAGGAAGTGGAGATTTGAGTTTATGGTAATTATCCAAAAGGAATTAATTATGAAATCCATAAATTATTTTAATTAATTAGTTTATTTATTACTTTTTTCTACAGGCAGAGTTAGACAGTGAGAGAGAGAGAGACAGAGAGAAAGGTCTTCCTTCTGTTGGTTCACTCCCCAAATGGCTGCTATGGCCAGACCTGCGCCGATTTGAAGCCAGGAGCCAGGTGCTTCCTCCTGGTCTCCCATGCGGGTGCAGGGCCCAAGCACTTGGGCCATTCTCCACTGCACTCCCTGGCCACAGCAGAGAGCTGGACTGGAAGAGGAGCAACCGGGACAGACTCCAGCGCCCCAACTGGGACTAGAACCCGGTGTGCCAATGCGGCAGGTGGAGGATTAGCCTAGCGAGCTGCGGCGCTGGCCTAGATTTATTTATTTACAGCGAGGGAGATCTTCCCCTGGTTCACGCTCCCAGTAGCCACACAGCCAGGGCTGGGCCGGGCCAAAGCCAGGAGCCTGGAACTTCATCCGGGTCTCCCACATGAATGCCGGGGCCCAAGCACTTAGGCCATCTTCTGCTGCTTTCCCAGGTACGTTACCAGGGAGCTGGACGGGAAGCAGAGAGCCAGGACTTGAACCAGCGCTGATATGGGATGCTGGCATTGCAGGTGGCGGCTTAACCCGCTATGTCACGCCAGCCCCTCTGAATTCTTGAAGGTGAGAACTCCCAGGTTCTGGGTAACCTTACTCAGTTGGCTTGTTTATTCTATATAAATGGTCACTCCCACTACTTGGGTTGTTGGGAGACGTGCTTGAACATGTCTGTGGAAGCCCTTGGTTAATTGTAAAGCGTGAATCAAGGAGTCGCTGTTTCCACGCTGCCTGCTGGACTGCAGCTGTGGCCGCTTCAGCGACGAGACTGGGTGTGAACGTGTGACCCCGGGCTCTGATCCGATGAGTTCCCCTTGCAGGCTGACTCTCATCTACCAGAAGGACCTCTGGGCTTCGCAGAGCTGTCTGCTTCGTGGAGTTTGTGCCTCTGGGGATGGCCTGCCCACAGGTGGGAGAGCAACAAGGGTACCTGAGATAGGCCCACCTTGGTGAGCAGACGGGAGGCTTGTATGGGCCCGTGAGCCGCGCTGGCAAGCCAGACCCTCCCATCTCCCCCTCCACCCTCTCCTCAGTCTAATGCATCTCATGTATTGTTAATGCTGCTTCTGCTGGCTCATTTGCAGACAACCTGAATAAAACATCAGAGCTGCGGCCCAGGAGGGGTGGTGCCCTCTGTCTCCCACTCCTGCCTCTGCCACTGGCCTTCATCCTGCCCTTGGCTCACTCCCTTTCTCCCTCCATTGCTCTGATGAACAGTCTTCACCCAGCTGGCTTGTCTGGAAACAGCCTGCCAGGACTCCTGGGCTCCTGCTGGCACTGGGAGGAGAGCAACTCCTCCAGCTCCAGCATTTGGTGTTTTGTTTTCTTTTCCTAGATGGAGGAAACGGCACCAGTTTTTTCCCACGATCTTAGAAAGCCAGTCTAGGAAGACGTGGCTGCTTCGCTCGGCCCAGGGAACCGCCTCAGCCCATGGCAGGAGGGCCAGGGCTGACCTAGAGCATGTCAGGAAACTCGAGTGTAGCCTTGTAGGGTGCACGGTCCCATCGCTGCTGCTGTTGCTGCTGGGGCCACAGATGGGGCTGGAGAGGCAAACCTTTGCAAAACCCTAAGATAAGGCAGAGGAGGGAAGCACAGACACATAGTAGGTGAGACTCTCAGTCCACACACACAGTGGCACAGGAGATATGAGGGTGCTTCGAAAGGTTCGTGGTGGGGCTGGTGCTGTGGCTCAGCGGGTTAAAGCCCTGGCCTGCGGTGCTGGCATCCCATATGGGCACCGGTTCGAGTCATGGCTGCTTCACTTACTATCCAACTCCTGCTAATACACCTGGGGAAGCAGTAGAAGATGGCTCGAGTGCTTGGGCACCTGCACCCACATGGGAGACCTGGAGGAAGTTCCTGGCTCCTGGCTTCAGCCTGGCTCTGTCTTGGCTGTTGCAGCCATCTAGGGAGCGAACCAGTGGATGGAAGATCTCTATTTTTCCTTCTCTCCCTTTCTAACTCTGCCTTTCAAATAAATACATCTTTAAAAAATTAATTAAATTAAAAATAAAGGTTTGTAGTGAAATGGAATGAACAGTATGAGTTTATTCTGATTCAAAAGAGTAGTTTTGGTGCCAAACATTTTTCCTCCTGTGTGGAAAACGTGTGTTATGAAAAACTATGCACTATTCTCAGAAAGAATTTTGCACCACAATAAACTCAGAATTTTCACTCCATTTTCCAGGAACCTCTTGAAGTTCCCACACTTAGTTTCTTTTCTTTTCCTCTGTAAGTTTAACCTCATTGCCATCCTGATTCTTACAGCAACCGGTGTCTTGTGTTTCTTCCAGGTACGTCCCTAGGATACTATAATTTAGACTGGCCAATTTTTTAAAAATTTGCTAAGTGTTTAAAATACCTTTAAGTTACGAATTCTAGCCAGACTCCCTGTCACTCTTAAACACCTGCTGTCTGAAGGGCCCGAGTCCTTAACCTGTGAGGTTTCCCACAGTCAGATTTTGCTGATTGCATATTTTTTTTATTTTTTTTGACAGGCAGAGTGGACAGTGAGAGAGAGACAGAGAGAGAAAGGTCTTCCTTTGCCGCTGGTTCACCCTCCAATGGCCGCCGCTGCAGCCGGCGCACCGCGCTGATCCTGGCAGGAGCCAGGAGCCAGGTGCTTTTCCTGGTCTCCCCTGGGGTGCAGGGCCCAAGCACCTGGGCCATCCTCCACTGCACTCCCTGGCCATAGCAGAGAGCTGGCCTGGAAGAGGGGCAACCGGGACAGAATCCGGCGCCCCAACCGGGACTAGAACCCGGTGTGCCGGCGCCGCAAGGTGGAGGATTAGCCTAGTGAGCCACGGCGCCGGCTCGCTGATTGCATATTTAAGGAACAGTTCACCACGTTCCTCTGAGCTCTCCATTTTCTTGCAAATTGGTAGCTGGATCCAAAGGGCTGCTTAGACTTAGATCTGGCCGCTTTGGCAGGATTATAGCTGTGTGTTTTTCATCAGGAGGCAAATAATGTCTGCAGGTCTCTGTGACATGAGCAGCTCCCGAAGTTCAGTGCCAAGATCCATTCACTCACTAGGGGCTGCGTCATGGCCATGTTCTAATTCCACCATTTCTTGTTCATTGATTGGCCAGAAATGCTTTCCTAAAAGACATTTGCTCTCTTTGACAGTTTTTTTCACCCAGTGGTACAGTTCCCAAAGGAAAGGCGGGGCCTATGTTTGATTCTTGTCTTTGTTTTTCAGTTTTCAAGGTCATGAGCATGTGCCTCCCCTCCACCCGGAGATGGCCAGTTACTTTATTCAAGTGTTAGGAACCTGTGGATTTAAACAGATGTGATAGATTAAATTAAATTTATAGGGTGGGCATTTGGTCTAGTAATTGAAAGTGCCCACATCCCACATTGGAGTACCTGGGTTAAATCCCCAGCCTCGGCTCCTGACTCCAGTTTCCTGCTAACGCAAATGCTGGCGTGGTGGCCGAGACACTGGTTCAGGTGATTGGGTTCCCGCTACCCACACGGGAGACCTGGATTGAACTCCTGGCTCCTGGGTTTGATCCCAGTCAGGGGCTACTGCAGGCATTTGGGGAACGAACTCAGCAAGTGGTAGCTGTCTCTCTTTTTCTGCCTCCCAAATTAAAAAATAATAATAATAATGCATTTGTAGAATTTGGATCCTTATTGAAATATAAGTGTTTCTGTCTTTGGCAGTGGGAATAGTTCTTGATAGCATTCTGGACTGATGAGATGCTCCTGACTCCTCTCCTGCCCCAGTCCTGAAACCAGCTGCCTCTCCTAGAAGCCCTGATACATTTTAGTGGGAGGTGATGTTCTAAGACCATGTCTGTGCAAAGGATGCTGTGGATGGGACTGGTGCTGTGGCGCAGTGGGTTAACGCCCTGGCCTGAAGCGCCGGCATCCCATATGGGTGCCAGTTCTAGCCCCGGCTGCTCCACTTCCCATCCAGCTCTCTGCTATGGCCTGGGAAAGCAGTAGAAGATGGCCCAAGTGCTTGGGCCCCTGAACCCATGTGGGAGACTGGAAGAAGCTCCTGGCTCCTGGCTTCGAATCGACGCAGCTCCGGCCATTGCTGCCATCTGGGGAGTGAACCAGCGGATGGAAGACCTCTCTCTGTCTACTGTATTTCAAATAAATAAAATAAATCTTTAAAAAAAAAGGACGCTGGTGGCTATTCTGCTGTGAGGTGAGCCACTGTTTTCAGTCCTTGCAGTTGGACAGAGCTAAGGAGCTGGGAGGGGAGAAACTGCACACAGCCAGTTCTGCTATCGCACCTGCTTTGCAAATGTTAATTTGTTCGAACACAATCAGTGTATTAGGGAGCAAGCAGAGCACAAAGCAAATTGTGTGTTTGGCTGTGGGTGATTTTCTGCCAGCGAACTAACAAGGGCAGGAATAAAACTGCACGAGGCTGAATGAAGCCGTGTGAGAATCCCCAGAACAGCAAGGAAGCCACACGTAGCCTTTTGCAAAATCAAAGAGAAAGCACAATCCATAGCCCGCAACCTTAAACAGAAATCGCCTGATCCTGCAGAAGTGGCACTTTCTTTTGTACTGCTGTGAGTGACTGGTTTGGTGATTTCAGACATCATTATGATTTCCGGAGTTTTCAGCTGTCAGAGAAACTGCAAGTATAGATGAGAAAGCGGCGAAAGAATTTCCAGCAGTGACACAAAAGTTAACTGAAGAAGGCCAGACAGGAGGCAGAATTTTCCATTTTAATGAGACGAGTACCTGCTACCAATGCATGCCTCAAAGGGCCGCCTCCATCTCAAGGCAGAAAAACACGGTCCAGATTTGCGGCTTCGGAAGATTGACAATGCTGTGTCCGAGTTCAGGTGCGCCTCCTTCCACCGTGTCACAGTAGCCCATGCAAAAGCTCTAGCAGTGCCCACTCCCATACGCTGGCTTCCCGCCTCTTTCAAGGTCAAGTAGCACGTCTATATAGTATTTATGTATTTCGGAGCCAGTTAGCTTGTATGGAGTGACCATTTTTTTAAGATTCCCATGCTTTTTAGAACTGGCCGCTGGTGAAGCTTTTGAGTGCTGTGCCCTTACCCCTAGTTTTACCATCATTCTGGTGATTTGTATTGTACAATTTTGTCCTGGGGTGATTTTTAGGAGTACAGGTGTCAGATCCCAGCAGAACCCAGCACACACGCATAGACACCCCCTGAGTTCATACTTACACTTCCAGTTCAGTCTTGGGACTGTAAGGTTTGCGCCTAATCTCATCTGGGGGACACCTTTTCCTCCTTTCTTCCATGCCCACAACCTTGGTTCTCCAGGTAATAACAGAATCTGCTTTAGCTACCCTTTGCTGTATCCCACCGCATGGACACGGTAACTTCGGGATGACCGCGCTGCTACCACAATCTGTGCAAATACCCAGAAGTCTCTCGGAGGGGCTCCCTGACTGCTCACCTTCAGGAGCTCCAGGGGTAAGGGAAAGGCTGCTGCTGCTGGGACCCCCGCAGGCCTCATCACCGACCACTGCACCCTCAACCAGTGAGTCTGCGTGATGGTTAATTCCACGTATGTCTCAACTTGACAGGGCTGATGGGTACCCAAAGAGCTGGGGTGATATCCCAGGCTGTGTGTGCGACAGCGTTTCTCAAGGAGAGTCGCATTTGCGTCAGTATACCCGGTGAAGAGCGCCCCTCTCCAACGTGGGCAGCTGTCACGCAGTCTGTCGGGGGCTCACCTGAATAGACAAAAAAGTGGAGAAAGGGTGAATTCTCTCTTCCTGAGTGAGGAGATCCATTTTCCACTTCCGCTGGCCACTGGAGTTCCTGAGTCTCAGGTCTTTTACATTCTTAAATTAAAAAAAAAAAAAAGATCTATTAATTTATTTTGCAAGTCAGAGTTACAGAGAGAGGGAGAGAGGGAAGAAGAGGAGAAAGAGAGAGCTCTTTCATCTGCTGGTTCACTTCCCAGATGGCCATAATGGCCAGCGCAGGGCTCGGCTGGTGCCAGGAGCCAGGAGCTTCATCCAGGTCTCCCACACGGGTGGCAGAGGCCCAAACATTTGGACCAGTAGGGAGTTGGATTGGAAGTGGAACAGCCGGGACTTGAACCAGTGCCCATTATGAGATGCTGGCATTGCGGGCAGAGGCTTTACCTGCTCCACCACGAGGCCAGCCCCTACGTTCTCAACCTAACGCCAGTAGTCCCTATTGTTCCAGGACCTTTGGCCTTGGATTGGTAGTTGCGGCATCATCTCTCCTGGGTTTACAGCTTGCAGATGGCTCATTGTGTGATTCTTCAGCTCCATAATTGCATGAGCCAATGTTCCTAATAAGTATTTATCTATCACCTACCTACCTATCTATTATCGATCTATCTATCTAGGGGCTGGCGCCATGGCTCACTTGGTTAATCCTCTGCCTGCGGCGCCGGCATCCCATATGGGCACCAGATTCTAGTCCCAGTTCTCCTCTTCCAGTCCATCTCTCTGCTGTGGCCCGGGAGTGCAGTGGAGGATGGCCCAGGTCCTTGGGCCCTGCACCCGCATGGGAGACCAGGAGAAGCACCTGGCTCCTGGCTTCGGATCAGCGCAGCTCCGGCCGTAGCAGCCATTTTGGGGGGTGAACCAACGGAAGGAAGACTTTTCTCTCTGTCTCTCTCTTACTGTCTGTAACTCTACCTGTCAAATAAAAAAATAAAAATAAAAAAAATCACCTACCTATCTGTCTATTATCTATCTATCTATCTAATCTATTGGTTCTGTTTCTCCAGAGAACCCTGGCTAACACAATCGGATAAAATCCCCCCTGGGTTCTGCTTCTCCTGGTGTCCCCCTGTGCGTCCCCCTGTGCATCCCACTTGTGTGCTACTGCATCTGTCAGCTCCCCGTCCCTCTCTCAGCTGCCTGCGGCACACGTGCTGCTCTCTTGTAGACCTTGGAGTCACCGGTGGTTTCCCCATCTGATTACGTTTGGGGGTTTGTGGGGATGCTGTGCCGCTGCACTTTGTTGAAAATGCTGTGTGGATTTTTGGCGTTTTGTTATTTAGTTGCTCTTGAGAGCGGCTTGTTTATCTGAGAATTCTGGGAGCTTTTAAAACCGTGCCGCTGTCACTGCTGTCTTCCCAGAACCCTTTCTTAATAATCATTTTTACAGTTCCTTGTCTTTGATATATGAACATTGACATTTTATACTGTGATTTAAATTTTTATTAGCCAAATCTGCTTGATCTTTCCCCATTGTTGTTTTATTTTAAAGATTTATTTATTCATTTGACAGTCAGAGTTACACAGATAGAGAGAGAGAGGTCTTCCATTCGCTGGTTCACTCCCCAAATGACCACAATGGCTGGGGCTGTGTCGATCCAAAGCCAGGAGCCAGGAGCCAGGAGCTTCTTCTGGGTCTCCCACATGGATGCAGGGGCCCAAGCACTTGGGCCACTTTCCACTGCCTTCCCAGGCCACAGCAGAGAGCTGGATCGGAAGTGGAGCAGCCAGGACTCAAACTGGCAAACACATAGGATGCCAGCACAGCAGACGGCGGCTTTACCCACTGTGCCACAGTGCCAGCGCCTCCCCATTGCTTTTATGTTTAAAAAATCCTTTAGCATATGGATATCAGATAAAAAAAAAAAACCTTCTACAATTCTTCAAAATTTAAAGTTTCATTTTCCTTTTATTCCTCTCTTATCTGTCTCGTCCATTTGAAAACTATTATTATTTTGTAAAATGCTGTGGGAAGAATATCCAAGTTAATGCTTTGTTTCTTCAAATACTAATTCTCGCAAAACCCATTTATTGGATTTATAATTTCTCTTTTAATATAGACCAATTATAAACATCAAAGCTTACATCTAGGTTATCTCGTCCTTATATGGCTGTTCGTTTTTGAAGTTGTACCACAATGCTTTTTATTTATTTTAGCCTCAGGCTTATTTTAATATCTAGGACACTATTTCTCTGTATAAAAGGGAGAAGTTTGGTTGTTTTTACCTGCATTATTTCTTAATGACTTGCAACAGAGAGGAATTCCAAAGTCGATATTTTGGGTGGTCCTTTGGTCCCCTGTTTTCTTATTGAAAATGTACCCACGTCTGCTTCTTTGACCTCTTCCAAATGGTGTGGAGCGGCCCGGGAGGTGCTGTCCATGGCCCTAACTCAGGACACTGTGCTCACAACTGTGCACACACGTTTGAGGGAGATTCAGGATCTGTCGTCGGATCTGATCGGCAGGATGACAGCAGAGCCATTGGCGAATACATCTGGAAATCAGGATTTGGCAGGCAAATACGACTTCTCGTGGCGGAAGACTTAGCCTTCCCAGCGGTGGGTCAGGTATCCGTAGGTCCGAGAGGGCGAGGAAGGCGCACCGCGGCCAACGGGAACCCAGCACCAGTATGTTCAGAGCAAGTGCAACCACTAACATTCATTTGCAAGATAGATGGTTGACGCTGGGACTAATGGAATTGCAGGCAGCTCAAATCCATAATTTTGACCTCTCAAGGTTGCTGAAAGCAACTGGCACGCACAGCCATACGTCAGCCATTGCGGTCCACCACTTGTGCATCTTAAAGTTGTTTTTCCCACACATGGCTTTCAACCCTGACCTCGAGAGGTGAGGCTGAAAGCCCATCAAGGCCTTCTCTCATCTTCCTGAGACAAAAAAAAAAAAAAAAAAAAAACCACACACACACACAAATTTAACGTGTCCAAAAACTGGACTGCGATTACTCTCATCTTGTAACTAAGTGTGGAAAAACACTCTGGAGTATCCTGTAGAACAGCCTAGAGCCTCAGCTGAGGTCCAGCAGACCGTGTTTGATGTGCAGGCTGTGGTCAGAAGGGCTGGAAGGAGCCAAGCAGCGACACTCAGCCTGCAGGGCGATGCAGAGACACTAAATGGGAACAGGCAGCGCGCGTCTGCCGGCAGCGCATCCTCCAATGATCCTGGCCCATGAACCCTTTGCTGCTTGCAGTGGTCAGAACCTTCAACACACCTGCAAGGATCCAGGGTCACTGAGTCCATCGGCTCATTCAAATGCAGAGCCCCAAGCATTCTAGATGCCCTGGGAGGCCTTCAGCGACCCCGGAGGGGGAAAAGGACTTGCCCAGGAGACTTGTCTGCTGCACAGGAGCCAGGAGCTGCCAGGTCGTTGCTGTCAAAGCTCAGCTACAGGCACGGGCTTTGCAAACTTGCCCTTTTACCGACGGGCCAAAGGAGGCCAACGATATGGGAAGACTGCATGCATGGATCAGGAAGGGGTGTTCTGGAAATTCTCCTGGTAAGCAAAGCGCCAGACTGGCACGACCAGGGCTTCCACATGGCCCCTTTCATGCTCTCCTAGGGGATGCAGTCCCACGCACAGAGCAGTTAAATGGTGCATTTTAATTACCCAAAGGCAAGAAGAGGGAATGAGCTTAGAGGACTGCCATGAGACCCTACGTAAAAACCAATACATTGCCTAGTACATGAATTAATTCGTACTTAAATAATAGAAGCGCCTGTCCATTAGAAGACAACACCACCAATTACTTGCTGTGCAAACGGCTGCTTTGGCTAGCATTAATAATACCAGCTACCGATTTTCTGTAATCCTCGGCTGCAGCTTTCCTTGGATGAACAGCTGAGCGGGGTTAAAATGCGAAGTCAAGTTCCCATTCACACCCATCAGAGGGCCAGGGCTTGGCTTCCCTCTCCTACGGGTCCCTCAGGGCTCCGGCTTCACAGCCCCTGTTCTCCCACTGCCAGAGAAGCCTAAGTGAATCCGTCCCTTAGCATCTGCCCCTTAAGTCTAAAAAGAGCTTTGATATTCAAAGCAAACATCCAAGAAAATTCTCCAGACGACATTTTCTGCCTCTGAGCCTGGCTGGCTCCATGAATTCAGTCCAGCTCGGCTGGCCAGCCAGGCAGGAGACTCCAGGAAGGCAGACAGGTCATCAGGGGCCTTGGGCTTGTGGTGGAGGAGGCCTGAGTTCAGGCCCCTTCTCTTCAGTGATCTCTGTGTGGGACGTGGGTCAGGCTCCTTAAGCCACTTGCAAGTTCATTGTCCTGGTTGCACCAGGTAGACTGGGCTCTGCACCATCTAACTTCACATGGAAGCCAACAGGCACTAGGGCTCCTCCGCTCAACAGGTGACGGATGTGCAAACACCCTGCTGGCCTTCTGTCACCCGCAAGAAGCTGTCCTTAAGTCTCTGTGTGGTGGGGGCCCCAGGAACCCAAGAGTGGGGCTGGGGTGTCCCTCAGCCCCTCGTCGCCTCGGAAAGACCGGCACAAGGTCAGGCTCTGCCACGGGGACAGCGCTGGGCTCTTGGGTGCCCTCGCAGCGTGTCAGCACCATCCTCGCCTGTGACGTGGATGTTCTCATTTGGTCCTCTCCTCTGTGAAGTGAGCTGTGTGTGCCTGCTCTTTCCATAGCAAGACACTGAGACGTGGAACGGTTAAGATCACAGAGCTGCCAAAGGACAAGGCCAGAATGTCAACCCAGGGCGACTCCGAACCACCTCGCTAACCTGTCAGTCCCATACCTGTCATTCTTAGAGTGGGTTCAGCCTGGACCTGCCTTCTTTCTTGTCTCGGTAATCCAGATCCAACTACCTGGGAGGCAGTCTCACGTCCAAGAGGCCTCCTAAGCACAAGCCAGCTCAGATTACACCTCCTCCAGGAAGCCCTCTACAATACACTCACAGCACCCTGGACGCATCCTGTCCTGGCTCTCAACTCAATGACCCCATGAGCCTGGGAGCTTCTGGAGGACAAGGCTCATTCATTGTTGGGTCCTCATCCTCAGCCACAGTCAGCCTCCAGTAAGGAAAATGCTGGCATGACAAATAAACCTCCTTCACTGCCTTCTCTTTTTTACATACACAACGACCGGCAGCTTTAAGCCTCCCCAAGTCCTGGATGCCTCTCCTGGATTCCTGGGCTGATAATCGCTCATGTTCCACACCTGTCCCCATGGATGACTGCAGGCGGCAGGGACAGGAGAGACTAACCATCCCCAGCTAATACTCTTGGATGTGACCTTTCTGGTGCTTTTTACCCAATGCCCTCTGCACCTTTTCCCCCAGGACACGTGATATGCTTGCCCAGACCCTTCCTGGAGGGGGCTGGGTAGAGTAGGCATCAGGTAGGGTCCGTGCGAGCTTGAGACCCTCAGACCTGCTCAGCTACATCCCCCATCCCCTGCGAGCTACCCCCACCCAGCTAACCACACCCCCGATCTCAAAGGTGACGGCAATAAAACGGGGGCCCACAGGCAGAACGCCCATACGCTTCGGCTGATCTGCCTCTGTAATCCATGCTGCAAGGTGGGACAGAAATAACTTTATGAACTATCTGCGCTGTGATTTCTTGATTTCAAAGTAATCCTGTCGTGGGGAAGTGTCAGTTCCAATTGAGGAGGAAAAAACTTCGGGTGCTTGGCGTTCCCCACCCTGACCAAGCCTGGGCTGACATGACGATTGTGGGCTCCCGACCAGCTGTGTGTGTGTGCACAGGTGCAAGCCTTGCACTCAGGGGCTCTTGTTCCCACCCCTCCCCCAGTCCCCTCCCTGCCCACGTGGAAGGGGCACTGGTATAAGAGAACTTCAAAAAGTTCATAGGAGGGGCCAATGCTGTGGCGCAGAGGGTTAATACCCTGACCTGAAGCGCCGGCATCCCATATGGGCACCGGTTCGAGACCCAGTTGCTCCTCTTCTGATCCAGCTCTCTGCTATGTGAGGGCATGATTCTTAGAATTGTGGCAACCTTCTTGCCACCATGAGGGGAGACTTGGAGACCTCCTAAGAAAGGCAGAGCAGAAAGGTGGCAAGAGGCTGAGTCTTTGCTGTCCCTGAGTCTCTGCTCCTCCTGCTGGGACCACCTACCTCTGAGCTTTCCATGGCAGGAAAGAATCAATTGTCTCAATTGTCTCCATTGCCGATGCCACCGTTGCTGGGGCTTGGGCTCAGGCTCGGGGCTACAGTGGACTTGGTATCTCCACCAAGAGAGAGAAAACCCCAGTGGCACAAAAGGTTCAGCCCGAGCGCAGCCAGGATGGAGTTCTAAACGTTTCCTGTAGCCCTTGGGAAACCAGGACCCGCCCACCCCAGTTGGGGTTTCATGCCACTTCCCCGTCCTCGTCTTCCCTTGCTCACGCCAACGGGAGGGTCCCGCGGGGGTCTCTCACGTCCTTCGGAGCGGTGGTGCGTGTGGTCCGTGAGCATCCAGCCAGGTGGCAGGGTGGAGGGTGTGCTCCGGAAATGTCGGCTTTTCCCTCCACCCGCAGCCTCAGGTAAGGAGTCGTCCACTGGACGCGCACAAACCAGTGCCACCCGACTCCCTGGTGCGGGACGACAGACAGACATCTCCTCCGTCTTCTTCCCCAGTCCGTCTGAGGAAGGCAGATGTTGAACCAAAAGACAACAGCTAACGAGGCAGCAAGGCTTACGAGAGTGTGATGGGCGGGAACAGGACACTACGGGAGGATAACAAACTGCGCTTCAACCGCCTTTGTCCGCCATCAGCCCTGGGTTCCTGCTTAGCGAAGAAAAGCCGGTGCGGAACAAGGCCCTGGCCCGAGGCCGTGCGGGCCCCTGGCAGCCCTCTCCTGTGTTCAGAGGGAGAGCGATGCGGCACGGGGAGGGGAGCAGCACCAGCACAGCTCAGCAGGTCTGTCCCCACCTTTCTCCCCGGCCCGGCTTCTTTCCTGGAACCTCCGGAGATTCTCAAACTCGGAAAACACAAAGCCAATGGGAGGCTGTGGCGGCTAAGGATGGCCCGGGCGCGGTCACAGGTGGAGGAGGACGCATCACAGGGCTTGGAGCGGGAACAGAGGCACATTCAGGGCTGTTACAGTGCCGTCCAAGGCAAGGGAAACTTCAGTATCTGTTTATCATCTGTCTGTCTGTCCGTCTGTCTGTCTGTCCCCTGCAGGGGGAGAGAAACATAATATTTAGATGCCTCAGGTAGACAAAGTGGTCGGCCACGTTAAATGAGTTCTCTCCGCTTCGGAAGCGAGCGTCAGTTAATGACGTCATTGGAGGGTCGAGGAAGGAGCCTCACAGCCAGTGTGGAAGAATGCCCTTGGCAATGGCTGAGCCAAGTGTGTGCGTCCCAAGGGAGGTGCAGCGGGGAGATCGCGGCTGCAAAAGAAAAAGACAGTTTCTGCTTTGTTTTTTAAAAGATGTTATTGATTTGTTTGACAGATAGAATTAGAGAGAGAGAGAGAGAGAGAGAGAGAAAGGTCTTCCTTCCGTTAGTTCCCCCTGCCCCCAAATGGCCGCTGTCTGCGCTGATCCGAAGCCAGGAGTCAGGTGCTTCCTCCTGGTCTCCCATGCAGGTGCAGGGCCCAAGCACTTGAGCCATCCTCCACTGCACTCCCGGGCTACAGCAGAGAGCTGGACAGGAAGAGGAGCAGCCGGGACAGAACCTGGTGCCCATATGGGATGCTGGCACTGCAGGCGGAGGATTAACCAAGTGAGCCACGGCGCTGGTCTCCCTTTTATTTGTAAGCAAGCACACATGCAGCGTGAGTTTGCCCTTGAAAACTGTGAAACTTCCACAAACGTGTGCAGCTCATGTATTGATGTAAAAATCGTTTCCTGGAAGCCGGATGTGCGCCAGGAGCTGCTGTTGGAATGCGTGTGCTTTCCTGTCTCATCTGCTTGAAGGCTGTCAGGAATTCCCCCATTTTATTTGACTCCAAATGTTGAGGCGCTCTGAGAAAGCGCTTGTTGGCGTTCCCTGTGACCCCTCATCCTCAGAGTGGATTTTAATGGGTCTTTCCATCTGAGCTCAGTGAGACCCAGTGCTGGTATGTGTGTCTCCCCAGTAATGCTGTGGCGTTCCAGGATCCAGGCTTTCTGGAATTTCATTCATCCAAGAAATCCTAGCACAGGCAAGGGGCGGAGGGTGGGGGCCGCTGGGACACCAGGGTGCAGATGGCAGTCAAGCAGACAGCTCCATGGGAGCTGACAATCAACCGGAATTCACTGATCAGTTCTCAACATTCAACAGTTTGAAGCAACTCTTGGAGGCTCACAACCGGAGAACATTAACTTGAAAACCACTGACTCAGGGTAAATCAATTAAGCTTGTGTTTTCTTAGCTCACCCGTTTTGATGATAGCTTTTGCTGGTTAGTCTTCATGAAAATTCAGCCCCTACGTTTATCGTCAAGAAGTTAATAGGTTCTATTTTTATAACTTTTTTTTTATCCTGACACGTAATTCTTTATGTTCATAGATCAATATTAGGGGAAATTTCTTTGCCAAGTAATGATCTGTGCAGTCATAATAAAAAGGAAGCATTTCAAAGATTTTCAGAGCCAAAAAAAAAAATCATTGCGGATTCAAGTGGTTCTATTACCGTGTTGTCCAAATGTCCCACCAAATTTATTAGCCCTTTTTTCAGCTCTTCCAGGATTGAGAATGAACCTCTTGGTAACGGAGGCCAGAAAATGAGCTGTTGAATTTTCGAATCCGAATGCATCTGAGATACCATGTAATCCGATTCATGCATTGAGGAGTCGAAGAGAGGGACGCCAAGCTGGTGACAGCGTCTGCCCACTCAAAATCTTCTAGGGCATGGACAGTGAATTCATAAATCACACACAGGATGTTTGAACCTTTCAGCCAGTCTTAAATCACTCTTCAAGGAAGAATGAGGCCAAAAGAAGTCAATTTGCTCCCGCCCATGCAGTCATTCCAGAATTAAGAATGGAACTCAAGTCTCCCTGACCTCAATCCAGGACTAATTTCCATGTAACCAGAAGCACCTGTAAAGTGGGGCGTCTGCCTCCCTGCGGGTTGTCATCAGGACTAAGCAGGGCAGTCTGCAGGATGGCATTCCGCTGCCCTGGACTTTGTTTACAGCAGGTAACTTGCCTCCTCCACAATGGAGATTTTGCAAAGCACCCGAGGCAGGGGTGCAGCTGGACTTCAGAGAGGACTATGACCAGGGAGGGGGGCCGGGCAGGGCTCCCCGGCTCGTCCTCCAGCCATTCGATTCCTTACACCTGTTTGATTCTTCTTTACTGACAGACACATTTCTGGCTTCTTTGGTTCAAGGCTCACGGTCACCCAATGTGTATGGGAGACTGACTCTCGGTTTCTACTGGGCATTCTCCAGAAAGCGACTTGATCTGCCACAGGCCCAGCACGGACTATGTGTGCACTGGAGTGGGGGTGGTGGGACAGCAGTAGGGTTTCCATACATCTGGGAAGTGTCAACGACCGGATACTTCCCCTCCCAGGCAGAAGAGAGCCTCCAGATGATGTGACAGACTCGGCACAAGCCCAGGCTGGCGGGGGAAATCCTGAAGAGTTCCTTTAAGGCTTTGGGAACAGGGACATCCTACCCTGCTGACTTCCCAGCCCACTTCTCCCTCCCACCTCTTTTTCCTCCTGCTAATGCTGGTGAGGGCCAAGGATGTCTCTCTCCTTGGCCCTCTGACCAGTTCTGCTGATATGCAAATCATATGTAAATTGAGGTCTGAGAGATAAGCAGGAACTCAGGAGGTATGGGGCTGGGGGGAGAGAGTCCCAAGCCCAGGAAACCACATGCGCAGAGGTGCTGAGGGAGGAAAGGGGGCTCTTGGGCCTCAGTGGGGCTCATATCATGTGATTATTAGAGGTGGGGAAGAATAAGACTTAGAAATAAGAGGACGGGGCAGGCGCTGCGGTGCAGTGGGCTAAGCTGCTGCTGAGATGTCCACACCCCATATCAGGTGCTTGGGTTTGAGTCCCAGCTTAGGACCCAGTTCCGTTCCTGCCACTGTGCCCCTTGGGAGGCAGCAGATGACGGCTCAAGTACTTGGGTCCCTGTGACCCACATGGGAAGTCCTGGTTCCCAGCTTCAGCCTGGCCCAGGCATTTGGGGAGTGTATGAATGGGTGGAAAAGCTCTGTCTCTCTGTCTCTGCCTCTCTCTCTCTCTCACCTTCTCTCTCTCTCTCCTCCTCCTGTTCCTCTGCCTTAGAAATAAATGAACACTTGAAAAAATAAAGAGGACTGGACAAATAGCTCAAGAGGTGAGCTATAACTACAAGAGTGCACACATGAGAATTTTATGAGAAGCTGTCTTCACATCAGCAGGACTCAAACAGGCACCCATATGGGATGCTGGCATCACGGGCAGTGGTTTAACCTGGTGCACAACAATGCTGGCCCCAGCTCCTCCTTCACTCAGTTTAACCTTGACCTTGTCAAGGGGCCAGTGCTGTGATGCTGTAGGTTAAGTCTCAGCCTGTGATCCCTGTGGGATGCTGGTTTGAGTCCCGACTGTTCCACTTCCCATCCAGCTCCCTGCTAATGCACCTGGGAAAGCAGTGGAAGATGGTCCAAATGCCTGGGCCCCTGAACCCCTGTGGGAGACCCAGCAGAAGCTCCTGGCTCCTGGCTTCAGATTGGCCCAACTCTGGTCATCGCAACCATTTGGAGAGTGAAACAACAGATAGAAGACCTCTCTCTCTGTCTCTCCCTTTCTCTGTCTGTAACTCTGCTTTCTCAGATAAATAAATTAAAGAAAAAAAAAAAAAAAGAGTGGAGGAGATTGGTTATGAAACCACACCAGAGTGAGCATACTATAGCTCCTGGATCAAACCTGGCCTGCCACCTGTGTTTATAAGTAAAGTTTCACTGGAAGACAGTCATGGTCATAACCACTGGTTGACCTATTGTCTATTGTTGTTTTACTGCATGAGCAAATGACCCATAAGCCTATAAAATTTACCATCTGGCTTATTTATAGGAAAAGGTTGCCAACCCTTGGACTACTATACTTAAAATTATTATGTGAATATTTTTCCCTAAAAATCTAGGAATAAGGGGCCGGCACTGTGGTACAGTAGGTTAATTCTCCACCTGTGGCACTGGCATCCCATATGGGCGTCAGTTCAAGTCCTGGCTACTCCACTTCCTATCCAGCTTTCTGCTATGGCCTGGGAAAGCAGCAGAAAATGGCCCAAGTCCTTGGGCCCCTGCACCCACGTGGGAGACCCAGAGGGAGCTCCTGGCTCCTGGCTTCAGATTGGTGCAGCTCTGGCCGTTGCGGCCATCTGGGGAGTGAACCAGCAGATGGAAGACTCTCTCTCTCTCTCTCTCTCTCTCTCTGCCTCTCTGTGACTCTGCTGATTCAAATAAATAAGTAAATCTTTAGGAATAGAAACAACCAAAAGAATGCACAGCCTTTAAAATTTTGTGGAAAAGTAGAATTAAAAGATAAATTTATTTTAGTGAAAAAAAATTGAAAATCCATGCATAGAAGGATCTTCAATAAGTACATGGAAAGTGTATATTGTGAAAAATTATGTGGATTTCAAAGGTTTTTGTACAAAAGTAAGCTTTCCTTAATTCCATTTTCCCACAGACTCTGAAGTACCCTTGTACAAGACTAGGGAATTTTCTTTATTTATGAAAAGGCTCCCATACTTTAAGAAAAGGAAAGAAACAACCGAAAAGACATCGATTTAATTGATCTATTCTCCTATTTTAGTTTTTACTTATTTTCATTTTACTTAAAGACAAAGGCAGAGAGAGAGAGGCAGAGAGGGGGAGAGAGAGAGAGGGAGAGAGGGAGAGAGAGAGAGAGGAATCTTCCCCCACCCACTGGTTTACTCTTGCAACGCCTGCAGGAGCCAGCTCTCTCTATCTCTTAGGATGCCCGCGTCCCCATCAGAGTATCTAGGCTTGTGTGCTAACCGCACTCCTGGTTCCAGCTTCCTGCTAATACACACTTGGAGACGCAGCAGGTGACGGCTCAGGTACTTGGGTCCCTGCCACCCGTGTTGAGACCTGGATTGAGTTCCTGGCTCCTGCAGACGTTGCAAGAATAAACCAGTGGATGGGGGAAGATTCCTTTTCTCTCTCTGTGTGTGTGTGTGTGTGTGTGTGTGTGTGCCTTTCAAAAAATATCAGTATTTCCTTATTTGGGAGGTACAGGAGTTAACAGCACACAGGCTTGCCCTTTGGATGGCCAGAGTTGCCTGTTTCACCAAAACCCACCTCCTTGCACCTGTACAGGTACAAAGAGGAGGAGGGAGTGTCCTCAGGGTCTGTGTACTGGCCTGGGGCAGCCATGGACAAGCTGGGCAAGGGTGAACCCTCACACATCTGCTCCACTGCTCCCTTGGCTCTGCTTCCCCGACAGGGGTGACAGGGTCTGGACAGATAACTGCAAGTGCCCTGAGCACCAGCCGTGTGAATGCAGCCACAGAGCCTGCATTCAGCACGTGCCGCACGTCCCTTCTTATCTGCCACTGTCAGCAGCCCGACAGCAGCTGGAAGTGTTTAATCCGCTGTCTTTAGTCTCTCCCATTTCCTCGAGGTGCCGGAAAGAATTAGAAAAACTCCCAAAGAGGCCTGGCCGACCAGCGGGAGGCGAGGCCACTTGTCAGAGCGTCTGCCCCTGTGTCTTCTGTTCTCTGAACGACAGGTTGCAGGCTGGAGTCTGGGGGTGCACGAATCCCTTCGAGGGCCATCTGAGCAGAAGGCTTGCGAGCCCCGCCACGCAGCCCACAGCCATTGTCCCTGGCCACCTGCTCCTCCACACCAGGAACACGGTGGCTCTAGATATTTGCCCCAAGCCCCAAATAGCCCCAGCCCTTTGGAATCCCCAAGATGCTCACTTGGCCCTCTCAGTCCATGGTCTTCTATTTTACGTATTTTAGCAGGAAGCCCCAGATTGTGGGTCGGAGGGCATTTATTTGAGGCTGAGCTACTCCCCTGCCCTAAACCATCTTTCTAGAACTGTCACAGCAGGTGCTGACTCCCTGTTCCCTCGGAGAGCGTCTGCCACCTTGATTCTCTTTACGGTTGCTCCCTACCTGCCCCAGCACTGCCCCCCTCCCCGTTCTGAGATTGGAGCAGCCCTTTGCCCACAAGGAGGCTTGAGACGCAATTGGAGCCCTGAGCTGGCTGTCACCCTATTTCCCCCGGGGACTTTGAAATGTGTTCGCAAAAAGGACCACTATAGAAGTTGGCCCTTCTCAGTCTAACGGACAAAAACCAGCCCTTCCCGAGGTCTCATGATCCTTCCTCCTCAACACAGGTGTGGTTGGAGCACTTGGTGTAACATCAGGCTTCTCCAGAGGTCAAGTCCACTGACGGAGATGTAGGCAGTGCATACCCGTAGAACTAGACCCCACCCCGCCCCCTACCCTCTTGTACTCTCCTAGTTGGCTCTCAAACTCCCAACACTTCCTTTCCCATCTTCGCTCAAACAGAGGAGCTGATTCTAATTCTCTGGGCAAACTGAAGCGACCAGAGAGTGTCCACAGTTGCTCACTGCTGCGTCTGCTCCCCACGCACTTTGCCTCTGTATACATTAGCTTAGATAAATATCCATTTTCTTGTCTTTTCAAGGACACTCTTCCAGCAATTTATCTTCCTCTCTCCTACATCATCAATTTTCTCTCTCTACTGAGTCATTCCCATGAGCATACAAGCATGCAGCTATTTGTCTCCAATGAAAGTAAAAATGTAATAAAGCAAAACACAGAGAGGCTTTCTCTCAATTCCCCTCCCCCCACCGGCTCCCCATCCCATCTCTGTGCTCCCCGTGGTAGCAAAACTCCCTGAAAGAGACATAGGTCCTCCCCTGCCATCCCTCCTCACTCTTCTAACACCACTCTGTGAAAATCACCAATGGCCCTGCGTTCATCCGAGGAGAACCCGTGGTCTCCGCCTTCCTTGACCTACCGTCATGTGGCGTGGTCCATCCTTCCTGCTCCTGCACGCCGCTCCTCCAGCTTCCCAGGACCCCCTGCTCTGCTGGTTTTAGTCCCACTCCAAAGAACGCTTCTCCTTAGCCTCCTCTGACTCTTCCTCGTCTCCCCTTCCTTCCAGTGCTGCAATGGCCTGGGCGCGTTCTGGGATTTCTCCCCATCTCTGACTTCCTTTCCTTGCTGATCGCCTCTTGCCCTTGGCTTTGAGGCCACCTGTCTGCCTAGAACCCGTGCCTTGCACTGGATCTCCAGACACACAAATGCCTGTCAGACATCTCCACTTGCATCTCTCTCTTAGTCCATCCATGGTGCTGTAATGAAATGTCTTCGACTGTGTAACTTATAAATAATATAAATTCGTTTCTCATGGTTCGGCAGGCTAAGAAATCCAAGATCAAGGAGCCAGTAGATGCGGTGTCTGATGACGGAAGGCTCACTTTGTGCGCCACAGGTGATGCCCCTTGTTGTGTCCTCACCTGGCAGTGGGGAGGACCTCCGTGTCCACCCATGAGGGCAGAGCCCTGTTATGATTGAGTCACTCCCCGAAGGCCCATCCTCTTGAAACCACCACATTGGGTATTGGTTTCCATCATCATTCTCGGACGCCGACATTCAGAGCATAGCAATGTCGAACCGGCATCTCTGACCTCGCCTGCCTCAAGCAGTCCATCTCCTTTGAGCCTCCCCCCTCTCCCCCCCAGCAGCCCTGTGCTTCCCAGTCAGAGTTCTCTCCACTTTCCTGGATACTCCTTCCCAAACTTTGGAGACACATTAACGTCCGTGTTTCTCTCATGCTTTTTTACGTAACCTTCAAGGTGATGCTTTATTCTGTCTTCAGATACGCTCAGAACTGGACCATTTCCACTGCAACCACCCTGACCTGAACCACCAGCATCTCTCAACTGGGTCACCATGACAACCTGCCGACCTTAAGTTCTTCCTGCTTCTATACTTTCTCCTGCTTCTAGAGGAATCTTTCATCTTTTTAAAAGGTAAATCCGATTGGCTTTGCTCAAAACCCTACAAGGGTCCCTGTGGTAGACAGAAGAAAAAAAAAACTCAAAAATGTTCATGTCCTAATCTTTGGAATCTGTGTTACTTTTTAAAAAAAGATTTATTTTATTTACTTGAAAGACAGAGTTACAGAGAGAGGTAGAGACAGAGAGAGAGAGAGAGATCTTCCATTCCATTGATAAACTCCCCAAACGGCCGCAAAAGCCAGAGCTGAGCTGATCCGAAGCCAGGAGCCAGGAGCCAGGAGCCAGGAGCTTACTCCAGGTCTCCCAATCAGGTGCAGGGGCCCAAGGACTTAGGCCATCTTCCACTGCTTTCTCAGGCCATGGATTGGAAATGGAGCAGCTGGGACTCGAACTGGTGCCCATATGGGATGCTGGCACTGCAGGCTGGGGCTTTAACTGCTGCGCCACAGTGCCAGCCCCTCCTGCGTTACTTTTTATGGTAAAAAAGAGGGGGTTCTTTGTGGAAGTTATCAAGGATATTGAGATGGGGTGATTATCTTGGGTTATTATTATTAAAATTTAACTTATACAGTTGAGAGGCAGAGAGAGACATAGAGAGAGGGAGAGCTCTCCCGTCCACTCAAATGCCATAGTGGCCAAGGCTGGATTGGGTCAAAGCCAGGGAGCTGGAAACTCTACCAGGTCCCCCACGTGGGTTGCGGGGACCCAACTACTTGAGCCATCACTGCTGCCTCCCAGGGTCTGTGGCAGCAGGAAGCTGGGGTCAGGAGCCAGCGCCAGGTGCAGAACCTACGTCACTCTGATTTGGGCCGTGAGTGGTTTAACCAGCATCTTAACTGCTACGTCAGATGTCTGCCCCTCCCCTGACGTAGTATCGCCATGGTTCCAAAATGCAATCCCACTTATCTTTGTAAGAGGAAGCCAGAGGTGGTTTCTGCAACAGACAGAGGAGGAGAAAGCAGTGTGGCCATGGAGGCAGAGAACGGAGTGACACAGCCACGGACCACTGCAGGCATTGCAGCTGCCACCAGATGCTGGGTCAGGCAAGGAACAGACCTCTCAGGAGCACAGTTCTCCCGACACTTGGATGTGGGGCCAGGCAGCCTGATGTGGGGCTTCTGGCCCCTAGAACTGTGAGAGAGCGAATTTGGTTGTTCTGAGCCACCACGTTCGTTGGTGGTGCTTTGTCACAGCAGCCACAGAAAACTAACGCATTTCCCACGAGAGTAGGAGCATGAGCTGTGCACGGTGCAGCCCCTGTGAGCTCCTGACTCCCCTCGCCCCCTCGCTGGCTCTGGGCACCTTAACCTTCTCCCTGTCTTTATCCTTAATGAGCGTGGCCCCGCCCCTCCCTGCCCCCCAAGGCCTTTGCTGCAGTTCTCCCCTCAACCTGATGCCTGGTTCCTCTCTCACCGTCCTCAGCCCTTGCTTGAGCGCAGTCTCTCCTGACCGCACCACACCTCGACCTGCTCCACCCCTCCCTCCCGCCCCCATCCTCTTTACTGTCATCTTTCCCTAAACACTTGTCTGCTCCTGCCCTGCCGTGTGCTGGACTTCTTATTGTCCCCCTCCCCTGCCAGACCCCAAGGTTCTCAACGGCAGACAGAACCTGTTCTCTCCCGTATCCCAAGCCCCTAGGACAGACCTGGCAATACACACACATTCAGTTAACACAGAGGCTTTCAGAAGGTCATGGAGAGGTAGGTTTCGGCCTAGGGGTTAAGACATGGTTGAGGTGCCCCCATCCCACGTGGGAGTACTGGACTTCACTCCTGAGTCCACCTCACTGCCCACGCCAACTCGGGGGGCAGCTGTGATGGCTCAAGTGTTGGGTTCCTGCCACCCACGTGGGAGACCTGGACTGAGTTCCCAGCCCCCACCTTTAGCTGGTAGAATTAGAGAGGGAGGGAAAGAGCGAGAAAGAGAGAGAGAGAGAGAATCTCCCATCCGCTGGTTAACACCCTAAATGGCTGCAATAGACAGGGCTTGGCCAGGCTGAAGTCAGGAGCCTGGAACTCTTTCTGGGTCTCCCACATGCGTGTCAGGGCCCAAGCACTTAGGTCCATGGTCATCTCTGTACTGACAAAGCAAATATGCACAGGAAGTTCAGGTCAAGGCGGTGAGGAACACCTGGGTAGACTGGCGAAAGCTCACATTCCAAGCTTCTCTGCCTCCTCCAGCTCTCACCTTCTGTGCACATTACTATGCAAGACCCAGACCTGCTGGGCTGGCTGGTGCTGTGGCGTAGCAGGTGAAGCTGCCACCTGCAGTGCCAGCATCCCATAGGGGTTCTGGTTCTAGTCCCGGCTGCTCCACTTCTGATCCAGCTCTCTGCTAATGTGCCTGGGGAAGCAGTAGAAGATGGCCTAAGTGCTTCGGCCCCTGCACCCATGTGGGAGACCTGGAGGGAACTCCTGGCTCCTGGCTTCAGATTGGCCCAGCTCCAGCCATTGTGGCCATTTGGGGAGTGAACCAGTGGTTGGAAGACCACTCTCTGCCTCTGCCTCTGCCTCTCTGTAACTCTGCTTTTCAAATAAATAAATAAATAAAATTTTCTTAAAAAAGACACAAAGCTACAAAAATTTTTAGAGTTATCCCACAGAGTGATTTATGTGGCAGGTAAAATCATTCCAGGCCACAAAAACCAAGTGTTCAAAACACTTAAGTTTTCTCTTTAGCTATCTTTAGTCCCACTCTGAGTAACAGCAGAAAACACAGTGCCACACCTCCATCACGTCCGGGCTCTTTTCTTCCCCACTTTCCCCCGCGGGGGCTCTCGCCCGGGGAACTAACAGGGTGGTGTGGCTCAGAAGCCTGTCCGTGGCGAGGCCTGGCTAAGCTGCCACTTCCTAAAGCATCTGCAATTACAGTCTCGCTGGAGCCATCGAAGGCATCAACATCTGGAGGAATGCCTTTCCCAGCAGGAAGAACCAGATTGCAAAGGGATGAGTTTGCAAAGGGATGAGTTTGGCCTGCCAATGGGCAGAGTGTGGGGGAGGAGGGAGAGCCGCAGCCAGATCAAGCAGGGCCCTGTGGTTGTGGGAAGGAGCTGGGGTTTCATTCTAAGTGTACACAGGTCCCAGGAAGCCACCTCTGCACCTCTGCCGCCATGGCCAATAGGAAGATGTCTATGGAGTTTGCCCTTTTCATGAAAACCAAAAAGAATCCTGGCACGCACCCTGTCTGCCCCCGGGTCCCGATGCTTCTGGTGCTTGTGTTCAACACATATACCCGTCTTGTCAGGAAAACCGGGCAAGGCTTTGGAAACAGGCCAAGCCGATTGGTGGGGGTCCTGTCTAGAGCACTCTCGTGCATCGTCTTTTTTCCGACTCTGTCAACAGGAGCTACCCCAGGAATTCTGATCCTAGAGCATTCGTGTGCTTCTTGCCATAAAATGCAAACTGTGTGCCCTGTGGAAGGCTGGAGATGGTTGGCCCATAGACGCAGGCCAATTTCCTTCCATCTGCATTTATTTCAGCATTCTGGAGAGTTAATACACAGGGACTTCAAAAAGCTTGTGGGAAAATGGAATGAAAAGGTGAATTGACTTCGTTTTGGTGCAAAAAAAAAAAAAACCATGAAATCTCTGCATACATTTTCATAATTCACATTTCTCACAAACTTGTTGGAGCCCCTTCTTATATGGGTGTCTTTCTGAGCCTTCTTTTTGAATTAGTTGTAACATCTAGTTGACTCATTAATAACGAGATGTTCATGTTACATTTGTCTAAGGGTGAAGATTTTACGTTTAGTAAGAAAATATCCCCTGGCAACCCTGCTCTGCTCTCTGTTCTTTCTCCTCTGCCCTCTTTTTCCTGTTTCCCTGTTCTGAAGGATCAGGAGAGCTGGAGGCAGGCAGGACCAGATGGCGTTCTCGCACGTGCACGGAGGGAACAACTGGAGCTGGGCGGAGCGAGGGCAGCCTCGGCTCGCCAATTGCTGATATGTGCCGCACAGAGGTCGGAGGGGAGTGCTGCCCCTGTGGCCTTATGGGGGAAATGTATTGAAGTGCATTTTGGGGGTTGGGATGGGGTCTATTCCCAGGCATGTAAGTGTCCTGCAATGCACAATACAGTTCCCTCCAATGAAGACCGTCCTGCTGCAAGTGCCAGGGCCCCTCCGCCCCCCAGAGAGAAACACAGTACTGGATAAGGCTTGTCTATGGAATGTTGCTCATTGATAGGAGATTTTAAGGACTGCTCCTCAAGAATCCTGCTGGGACCCAGATATTCTACTTATTTATCAAATCGCTAACCCAGATCTAGTTTGATGTCCCCTACCTTGTGGCATGCAAAAACAAAACAAACCAAAAAAACTACTAAAAACCAAAAAACAGCACTTTATGGACTCCAATAAAGGCTCCTCTCAATTGGGAACTGACTTGTGTATATATTGTTTTAAACTCCAGCATCCTCCAGTAAGATTTATATTCTTGTTTTGCTTAAGATTCACATTTTAATGTGGCAATAAAAACAAGTGATATGGTCTCATTGCAAGGGATCCTATTTAGTTAATTATCAAGCCTCATGCTGCAAATCACTCTTTGGGTTTCTTGTCTGCCTCTCCTCACATGAGTTACAGGAGCCTGGGGTATGTGGGAAAGAGCAGAGCTGGGGCTAGAGGAGAGGGGGAGAGGAGAGGTGGGAAGCACAGCCTCTCTGTGCTAGGCAGTCGCCCACCCCACCCACCCTGTATGCCTCGGTGCAGGGGGCAGCACGGTGAATGCGGTCAGATCTTGAACCCCAGCTCTGCCATGTACTAGCTCTGTGACCTTGAGCATGTTTTTTAATGTCCCCGCCTCTCTCTACATAGATAATAATAATGCTATATCAACTTCCTGGCTTTGCTTTGAACATTAACTTAGGTAATGGATCTAAAGAAGCTGGCACAAAAACAAAAAAGCAGCAGTAAATGTTTTTGGACTTTTCCCCAGCAGAGGCTAACAACCTTGGGAAGCATCCGGGGTACTGCACCTGATGCTGGCCAGGGGTCGCCAGAATGGCAGGCAAGCAGCCAGGTGGCAGGGAGCAGACAAGCAGGCATCAGGGGCTTAGGGATTCGGTCAAGAATCTGAGCGGCAAAGAAGCAAAGCTCCAGGCAGGATCAGGACTAAATGAGAACAGAAGGGATGAGGTGAGAGACACACAAGTGAGGAACAACACTGGCCTCCTAGGGTCTCTCTGGACAGTGATGGCAGGTGGAAGACAAAGGGCTGCTTGGCCTGAGAGGGAAGGTGGAGTCGGTTGGGGTCAAAGGCTGCCAGGCAGAGACGAGCCAAGCAGGTTTCCTTTGCAGAGCTGTCCAGCATGAAGCGTGGTCCCAGCCTTCTCCATCCACGGTGCACACGGGGGGTGCTGAGGGCTCCCTGGACAACCGAGGATGGCAGCTGCTATGCATCAAAGCGTCTTGGTGCCCAACAATGCTTTGGCTCCCCTTGGCTGTCTCATCTGGGTTATTTCTGGTGTCAGCTCTGAGCAATTAGTAGTGGCTGCCTGGAGCATTGTCTTGAGAAACGTTTTGAAGGTCACATTTGGGAAGAATGCTGTGATTGATTATTTATGTCTGCCAAGGGCTGAGAAATGATGCGTGGAGGTGTGATTGTTATCTTTCAGCTTGAAGTGAGCTGCTGCTCCTTCCAGCTGATATGTGGCTGGAGCCTGCTTAGAAGGTTCTGGCGGAGGAGTCTGCTCATTCATGCCTTCTTTTGTTCAGCATTCTCAGAATGGCCTCCACCAGCGGCTCTGCCGCACTGGAGGAAGGAGCTCCAGGAACTCCCAGAGCTGTGCTGCAGGCTCCCTTGGGTGCAACATCAGCACGTGAAATTATCAATCCAGCTTTGCAGGCTAGAAAACTGGGGGTTTGCCTCGGTTTGGGAAATGAATGGAATAATTCATATTATAGTGTCATATCTGAGTGGGAGTTGTGATGCAACAGATTAAGCCCTACTTAGGGTGCCGGAGTCCAAATCGGAGTGCCTGGGATCAAGTCCCACTCTGCCTCCAATCCAGCTTCCTGTTAATGCAACTGGGAGGCAGCCGATGATGGTCCAAGTGCTTGGGTTTTTGACATCCATGTGGGATACCTAATGGAGTTCCTGACTTCTGACCTTGTCCTGGCAAAGACTTGGCTGCTGCAGGCATTTGAGGAGTGAACCAATGCATGAAAGATCTCTGTCTCTCCCCACCCCACCTCCACCCCTGTCTCTCTGTCACTCTGCCTTTAAATAAATAAATAAATATTTTCCTAAGTTTTTCATGTCTTAGAAGGCAGCCTTGAGCATTTTTCAATGAAGACCCCAGAGAATAAGACCATCCTGGTGTGAAGCCATTGGCCCCCTGTGCGCTGCAGGAGCCACCTCCCGACACAGTCACCAGCCCTCAGCCAGGCTCTGAGCATTACCTAAGCTCAGGGAACTCGTATTCAGTGAATCGGCCCATATTTTATCTCCCCACAAAACAGCTATTTAAATATCCCCCGACTATGCACTTTCTGAATCATTAAGGCTTCAGGGTGCATCAATTACACTAATTTAGGAAAGTGATCAAATTCATGCAGGGTTGTTATTTTGAAAGAAAAGACATTTCAGTATATTGATGGGGAATTGGTGTCCGGAGTGTATAGATTTCCAGTTACGTCCTGTCATGGCAAGAGTCCATCGGTTTCCTTTAAGAGATGGAGAACACATTATACCCGGTATTAACAAAGATCAATTTCAGTAAAGGAAGACATTCAACACAAGGGAATTGAACTGAGCGGGGAATGAATGACGTAATGTTTGAAGTGATAAGGGATAAGTTATGCTAGGACTCCAATGATGATTAAATGGAATTTTTGTCCCTGCTTTTTGCTAGAGATGAGTTTTCTTTCCTGTAAAGTATAATGTATCTATTTTGGCATTGTCAGCGAGGTATGCAGTTCATAATTGGGCTTCTTAAAGATTCAGATTTCTTTAGTCCTAACGCAAGGGGAGGGTCTTATCTTTACTGCCAACTCATTCCTACTCTTCAAGCCCAAGTGACAGTCTTTTATAAGAATTTGGCTTTGGGTTTTATCTTTCAAGAAAACTGCATTCCAAACTTCAATGCGGTGAATAGAGTTACAAAGACACCATGAGGATAATATGGAAGATTTTTGGAAATAGAGTAAAGATAAGCTCTCTGCTGAGATGTGAGATGCAATGAAAAAAAAAAAAAGAGAGAGAGAGATGAATAGGAACAACAGCGGGCAGGATTTATATCAGTGTCTCTAAGGAAAAAAGCCAAACCAAGCCAGACTCCTTTCTTTCCCTCTGTGAACAAATTTCTTTGGAGTCCATAAAAACTATTTAGCAAGTATTTCATATCAATGTTTACAGCTGGAAGAAACTTCGAATATTTTCACAGAGGAGAATATTAATGGGTAGCAAGGCGGCGTGACTCACCAAGAACCTGTCTCCCTTCTGGCTTGGAGGTATATTTCTTGGTAGCTAACTTAGGAAATTCTCATTTTTCAAAGGACAACTGTTTCAATTCCTTTAATTTTTTTTTTTTTTGATGATGATACTGGTTTGTGAATGGGCACCAAAATTAGCACTGTCATCGGACACCAGAAGTTCTAACTTTGAACCAAACTGAATGTTAAGTTGCTGATTCTCTTTCTTGGGAATGATGTGGCAAGCAAGGATACCAAAAGCACATCTTCACAGAGTAACATTTGGAGGCCAGGTGAGAACAAGAGAAAAGCTATGCAAGAAAACTAGCATGGGCTCATCCAGCAATAGCTGCTCCCTTACCAACATCTGTGCTTGCCTGGACAGAGAGGGCTGGGAGGAATAAAGACAGAAGGGTTGAATTCTGCGAGGGCTGGCCCTGAAGACAGCTCCAGCTCAAAGTAAGAGTCATGGAGAAGGCAGGATCTAAGCCAGGAGAAAAGAACCCAGGACTCACCCTGATTCCTGGGTTTGTCTCTGTTATCAGTGTTTCCTTGCTAACCTTCAGACAGTAACTTCTTAGGACTTACCCCACAGTGAAGAGGTTACTCAACTGCGGAAACAGAGGCATCCCAGAGCAAAGACAGAGCTGCCATCTCTCTGCGTAGAATAAGAACTTGAGGCCGGCGCCGCGGCTCAATAGGCTAATCCTCCACCTTGCGGCACCGGCACACCGGGTTCTAGTCCCGGTTGGGGTGCCGGATTCTGTCCTGGTTGCCCCTCTTCCAGGCCAGCTCTCTGCTATGGCCAGGGAGTGCAGTGGAGGATGGCCCAGGTGCTTGGGCCCTGCACCCCATGGAAGACCAAGAAAAGCACCTGGATCCTGGCTCCTGCCATCGGATCAGCGCGGTGCGCCGGCTGCAGCAGCGGCCATTGGAGGGTGAACCAACGGCAAAAGGAAGACCTTTCTCTCTGTCTCTCTCTCTCACTGTCCACTCTGCCTGTCAAAAAAAAAAAAAAAAAAAAAAAGAACTTGAGGTGAAGTTTCTTTGTGGGCTGCTATCCTAGACGGGGGTTAGAGCATTGCTGACTGCTGGTGAACAGGGGCCTGGACTCCAGCGAGAGCCCTGCTGTGTGCCAGTTCCGTTTGCTGGCACTGTGACAGCTGACCTCCAGGCCACGAGGACAGGTCCCCTAGCAGTCCAGTGCACTCCCCTGACCACCGCTTCCCCTCTGCCTTGCCCATCAGCTGCCACAGCCACACCATGAATCATGCTGTCCTTCCCCTGCCCCTTCACACCACCCCTGGCCATTCCCCAGTTTCTCCTACACCCCTATTCCCACCACCCCTGAACCCTCCCAGTGCCCCGACTCTGCAGGAGCTCCCTGGCTGCACTTCCTGGCTCTCCCCTGCCATAGCTGCCAAACTCTTGGTACCTGTGTTTCCCCATATGGCCCCAGACGGACTGTTTTAAACCTTTCCCACTACCCTCAAGCTCCCTACCCTGTCCATAGCCCTAGTTTCCATCCCCTCAAGTTATAGCAGGAGACTTTTCTGTTCTCTAAGGGGATCAGCAGGGATGGATTCTTGGGTGGAACTAATAGAGCCTCAAGGAGTTTGAAGGCCCTGAAGTGGGAGACCGGGGTGGGGTTCAGACAAGAGTGAGCAGCAGGAAGCAGAAGGAGGAAGATCCTATAGCCATAGTGGGGGATAAGAAACCAACTGGATAGTCAAGGTGGGTTCCAGTGCAGTAGCTCCTGAGCCTGGGGCAGAAGACTTCAGAGACATTGTTCAACAAGACCACATCTGTGCCTTATTGAATTCTGATTTGTTTCAAATTTCAGCTAAAGACTTTTAGTTTACCCTCTCACCTAAATCACAAAGAAATCTGTACTGAAAGGTGATTTTGGGTATAATAGTATACATTAAAAAGTGCATGGCAACCTGGGATTAAAAGATA